ACACACACACACACACACACACACGCACATTCTCCTAGCGTGAGTTTTAAGCCACCGGATCCAGGACTCGAATCGTGGTCAACTACATGAGAGTCCAGCGATGTAACCATTATACCATCTGCTGGTCCCCAGAATCTGCATCTTAATAAGATCCCCAAATGATCTGTGTACATGAAAGTTCGACTAACCACGGTTTAGAGGCCAAATCTGGTCTCATTGTTTTTGCAGGCCTGTGACCACCTAAAGTGTCATGCCAGCGTGGCCTGGTACAGTGAGACCCCCAGAGCAAACCCATGCATCCTCCAGCACTTGCCTCCCCAGCCCACAGTTGTTCCCGACATTGTCCAGGGCCCTGCTGGTCACCACCTACAGTCCAGGGACTCTGCTGTTAGCAACTGTTGGATACTGAGCAACTGAGCAATGGAATCTTGGGAATCTTGGGAGTCTTGACTCCTGAGTTACCTTGCCTTTGGCCACTTGTCACCTGAGATAGCTGGCCTCTCCAAGAGGAGAGAGGGCTCATCTCACTGAGATCTGGAATCATTAGGGTAGAGAGTAAAGCTGGCCTTCCCCTTGGGGCCTGTCTTCTTTGTTCTGAGAATGTCTCCAGCTGGGAGCTCCTGAGGCAAGCCAGGCCCATCCTCAGGAACAGCCCACCCTTGGTGAATGGGGTCAGGTGGGCAGAAGTTTCCTTTCTTGTTACATTGAAGTTGTTACACAGCAGCCTTGATTTTTACCTCTTGGCCCTCTGAAACCCAAACATTTCCTATTTGGCCTTTTTCACAAGGCTTTCTACACATGAGATTAGGAGCTTCTTGTACTTTGCTGTGTGTGCCTTCTGGCCATCTGGGTTACTTCCAGCACCCTTTCCAGCCTTGATGGATGGCTCTTTCTTCTGTCCTCAGGACACCTGGTGCATTGCACTGTCATCGCATTTACTACCTTTCTCTCCAGCTCCCAGGCTCTTCTCACATTCAGACTCGCCTTAAGGGCTGACTACAACAAAGATTGCTGCACCTCGCCCCAGAGTTTCTGAGGCAGAAAGTCTGGGGTGGAGCCCAAGAACTTCTATATCTTTTTTTTTTTTTTCGGGGGTGAAGTGGGGTGAGTTTGCTATAGGGCATGTGTGCTTGCCAGAAAGTCAGAGAGAGACAGATAGACAGAAAGTGAGAAATCCCCCCCCAGGGGGGATGGTCATGCCACAATCCCTTCTCTTCCATTCTACACTAGGGATCTTGGGCATGTACTCACACATGGCCGACTGAGTTTAAGCCACTAGGTTTGGGACTCGAACATGGGAGTCCAGTGACATAGCCATTATGCCAACTCTGGTCCCAAGAACTTGGGTTTCTAACTAATTACCAGATGCTGCTGTTACTGGTCACAGTCTGTAAGGTCATCAGCCCCTTCTTGAGATCGCAACTTATATCTTGAGATCGCAACTTAAATCTTGAGATCAAGAGATATTTTCAATGACCTCTGAATGTCTCTCTTCCCTCTTTTTTTTTTTTTTTTTTTTTTTTTCTTTTTTTCCCTATTTTTTTTTTTACCACAC